CTGACCGACAAGAACAAAAGCGACCCGGGAGACTTGGGCAAAAGCCTTGATCCTGTGTATCGATCCGTGAATCCGTGAATCATGCCAGACGGTGTGCCACCCACAAGTTGGGAATTATTATTATTCGGGCTGTACACCAGCAGGGTAAACCAGTTCACCGGGTAAACGTGAAGTGAACAGTGAAGATCCTCCTTAATAGTGGAGTGAATAGCAAGTAAAATGAGGAGTAAGGAAAAGGACCATAAAGATAGGTTCATTCGGGCAGTCAAAGCAGCCTTGAGGTAGTAATGGAAACGCCCAACCTGTCCGTTGGAACAGGGATGGTACGCATTAGTCGATGTGATAGAAACCGAATAGTGTAGAAAACTCACGGAAGAGATTACACTGAAACTGTGAACCGCGGTCGGTAGTAACGGTGAAAGGTATGCCAAGGTTACTCACCCAATGCTGGAAAAACCAAAAGGCTACCATATCAGCTGAATTATCCGAAATGGATACAGCTACTGTCCAACGGGCAAAACAGTCAATCATGGTGAGGATATGAGTAAAACAGTTTGATGGGGAAAGTGGACCAACAATGTCGAGATGAACGTGTGTGAATCGAGCATTGGGAACTGCAAATGAACCGATAGGTGAGTTCGTATGCCTAGTTGCTTTATTGCGTTGATAGGCGATGCATTGTTTGGCCCAGGATGTTAGATCCATACTCATTTAGGGTCATACAAAGTGTGCACTAATCAACTTCCTGGTCGCTCTGATTCCTGGATTAGGAAGTCCATGGAAGTGGTCGAAAACGAGTCATCGAAAGGCTTTGGGGACGACTGGGCGATCTGATCCAGTGGACATATCACAAAAAGTGATTCCAGATTGGAGGGGTAGGGGAACTGAAGAGACTTGAAATGAATAGAAGGATGGAATGGACAAAAAGTTGGGATCACTATACTGAAGTTTTGCCAGCTTGGCTGAGTTCAACTGCATGGAAGGGTAAAGAGTGTTGATGTCAGGACGGGATAGTGCGTCTCCAACGACATTATCTGAACTTTGCGTGTACCGAATGTCGGTAGTGAACTGTGAAATGTAGTCAAGATGAGGTATCTTGCGTGGTGAATATCGATCAGGCTTGTCGTTAAAAGCATATGTAAGTGGCTTACAGTCGGTTTGAATGGTAAACGATCTACCTTCTAAAAAGCGCCGGAAATGGCGAATAGCAAGGTAAATTGCGAGTAACTCGCGACTAAGTGTACTGTAACGCTTCGGGGCGGTCTGCATCTCTTGCGAGAAAAAGGCTAGTGGTTGAGATGCGTTGTTAACAACCTGATGATGTACGGCGCCGTCGGCAGCGTTCGAACCATCAGTTGTCAAAATCAGCATTGTGCTTTCATGAGTATCGAAGAAAGATAACTTAGTGGTGTGAGCAATGGCTTTCTTGACTCTTTCGAAAGCGGCAAAGGCGTCGGGATTCAAAGTAACAGATTTTTCTTTGGAGCCAATTAAATTGGTCAGCGGCCGCACAATGAGTGATGAGTCGTCGATAACAGTTGATGATACCAATGAAGTGGCGAAGTTGGGTGATAGTGGTGGGTATGGGGAAAAACTCTAGGGCAGAACTGCGATCGCGCGATGGTGAGATGCTTGTTGGGTCAACGTGGTGGCTAAGAAAATCCAGGCTAGTAACACCGAATAAGCACTTGTTAATGTTTAAACGTATGTTCTTAGTGGGAAGACGCTCAAATACTGTTCCGAGATGATCTGCATGCTCGGTTGGGGAGGTGCTAGCGATTAAAACATCGTCAAGATAGGCATACACAAAAGGTAACCCACCTAAAACTTCGTCCATGAAACTTTGAAACGTCTGAGCTGTATTCCGAAGACCAAAGGGCATACGCGTGAATTCGAAGAGGCTAAACGATGTTGTGATGGCTGTTTTAAGAATGTCATCCGGGGCTACGGGTATGTGGTAGTATGCGCGTACGAGATCAAGTTTGGAGGAAGTGTTTGCGTGGCATAAGGCACTTGTGAAATCGTGGATATGTGGGATGGGCTACCTGTCTGGGATAGTAGCGTTGTTGAGAGAACGGTAATCTCCACAGGGTCTCCAATCAACCTTAGATTTCTTAGGTACCATATGTAGGAGTGATGACCAATGACTCGATGAAGGGCGGATGATGCCGAGTTCGAGCATGTGTTCGAACTCGTGTTTTGCGATTTGTAGCTTATCCGGATGAAGTCGGCGGGGGTTGGCATGGACAGGTGGACCTCTCGTCTGAATGTGGTGAACGACGGAATGAGTGACCGGTTGGGTGTACTGACATGGGTGAGTAAGGGTTGGAAAATCCCTAAGTATATCAGCAAAATGTGAATCCGGCAAGATAATTCGGATACCTGTGGATGAGGTTGGGGCACTAATTCCGTTGACTGAGAGGGAAGTAAGCGTGTCTAAGAGATGTTTGTGTCGCACGTCGACAGATAGATTGTAATGGGTCAGGAAATCTGCACCGATGATGGGTGTTTGGACGTCGGCCAAAAGGAAGATCCACTTGAACGCACGTCGCAATCCAAGGTCAAGGGTGAGGGAACGTTCGCCGTATGCAGCGATGCGGGTACCGTTAGCGGCTTGTAACGAGAAAGAAGCAGAATCGGGAAGTGGATTCTTATGTGGTAGCACACTAACTTCAGCTCCCGTATCTACGAGGAAACGTAGACCACTTGAACGATCGGTGATGTGGAACAGACGACTAGTGCGAGGAGGGCCACAGACAGTCGTCGCCGTTACTGACTGGCCGGGGTGTTTAAATGGGTGTTGGAACGCGGCCTGAAGGAACAAGGTGCTTGTCACTTGCGTGGTTTTGGGCCATAAGACTGGTGATACCAGCACCAAGAGGGACGGGCACGAGATAACGATCGGGATCGTGAACGTGGTCGATGCTCGTTGATCTCTAGCCGTTGTAGGCGATCGGCCAAAGTATCGAACTTAGCTTGTAGTTGCGATATGGAAGAAATAATTGGATAAGAATCTGTAGAGGTATTATGTGTAGGGCGGGGGGCGGAGTTACTGAGGGCGGGGTTACTGGGGTAAATTTCGGGGAATTTATCGGCCATTTGGGCCAGCTGCTCCAAGCTGTGGTCATCAAGGTCGACAGTACTGAATAAATCCTGTAGCATTTTATTTTAGGACTTCACTGTCTTTCTGGTGACGGCCGCTCGAAGAGNTCATAGGGACTTTCCTTGGGAATAACCCCCAAAAGACCTACTGTTTATGTTTCTCCCTCAAAGGAAGATGCTGGACGACATAGGAAAATTGGGTGTCTTGGGAAGTGATTCATCGGGTAATGAAAATGGCCTTCATCCGGTGAAATCATACCCTGGGGTTGCGGGGATCATAGTCCGGTAAACGCGTGCTAATTGCATTTTCGACTAAATCCGCTGAATCAAAGTGCGCCTCCATAATGACCGGGCGAAAGAAATAAAATTACGACGGCTTGAAGTGAAAAGTTTTCAAAGAAATTATCTAGAAAGATTCGGGCTCACGAATTTTGAAGTGGTCTGGCTACCCAATAAGTTAGTTTACCAGGAGCGTGTGGCAAAGAAATAAAAAATAATAACGCTAGGTTGGGTATACAATAATGAAGAGGTCAAATGAAACAGACTCACCAATAATTGTTCTTTTTAAAATAGTTCGTCTTTGGCTCAGTTCAGCGAATAAACGATAATCCAGTTATGGTGGTCCAGGGGCCTTCTTCTGAACTTTTACGACGTATAATAGATTCCGAAGCTGGTCTGAAATGTTTTGATACCAGAATTAGCACATGAGATCCGAGCGAAATCAGAAGAGAGAGTCGAAGCACGTGACCGCGTTTTTTATTGCGTGAATTTTTGTACAAGTGCGCGTTTTTGTTGTTGTTCGTATTCAAACAAAAAACGATTATGCAATTGACGAAATAACCAGTGTTTTAATGAAAGCAAAATAAGGTTACAAAACACCACACGCTGTAGACGCTGTATGCACAATAGAAGAACCTGGTCGTATAATTTTTATACGCTATCCAGCGCTTGTGCAGCTTGTGGCGGCCAAAATGACTTAATCTGGACAAGCCGCTAATACTTACTTCGCTCACACATAAAGTGAACGAGGTTCCCCACTCCACCCTATCCCACTTCCTCCGGGTTTCATTTATTCACGCGATGATTCTTACTGGTTTGCTGTCGTGAATTTCGGCAGAATTTTTTCATTATACTCTATGTTTGTGTATTGCATACTACCCCAAAGTTATCCGTCTGTAGTATACATTCAGCCGCCCGCTTACTTAGTAATTTCTCTTAACGACATTTTCGGCGACTATAAAATGGACAACTACTCCTCCTCTGTTTCTCTTCTTCTGTGACCTTCACCAACTAAAAAATCTTGGCAACACCAGCGCTTTGTCGCAGGAACTGGACGTGGGAATACTCAAAACCGAGACTTAATTTTTCCAGAGAAGCTCATGAAACCCGTGAGCTGTGCTCGGCTGAACTGAACTTGTTTATTCAGGTCAATAGATTGACGTATGCCCACATATGCTTTGTACTGACCAATAGGCTATCGACACATCGTGTCGACTGCTATTTAACAGCGGGTAGCCTGTCAACCGCGTCTGTTCTCCGTAATGTGGTCCGTACGGTTACTCGCCGTTGTTTCCCTCTTTGTGTATTGTGTGGTCGGTGAAGAAAAGAAGGAGGACTACGGCACTGTTGTTGGAATTGACTTGGGAACGACTTATTCATGGTAAGTAGAATTAAAATACTGTCTTATTGAAATCTAAAGTGTTGGTGTGTTTCAGAATGGACGGGTGGAAATAATTGCAAACGATCAAGGAAATCGGATTACACCGTCGTATGTCGCATTCACAGCCGAGGGCGAACGGCTTGTCGGAGATGCTGCGAAAAATCAGCTGACGACAAACCCGGAAAATACCATTTTCGACGTGAAGCGACTCATTGGCAGAACGTTCAATGAAGAGTCTGTTCAAAAGGATATCAAACATTTTCCGTTTACAGTTATTAACAAGAACGACAAACCATACATTCAGGTGAAGGTTGGCTCGGAAACACGCACGTTCGCTCCGGAAGAAATATCGGCAATGGTCCTCGGTAAGATGAAGGAAAGTGCTGAAGCTTATTTGGGCAAACCAGTCACGCACGCCGTCATCACTGTTCCCGCCTACTTTAACGATGCACAGCGACAAGCCACAAAGGATGCTGGTGTTATCGCTGGTCTTAAAGTGCTGCGAATAATCAACGAGCCTACGGCTGCTGCCATCGCATATGGTTTAGACAAAAAGGAGGGTGAAAAGAACATTCTGGTGTACGATTTGGGTGGAGGCACTTTTGATGTTTCCTTGTTGACCATTGAGAATGGCGTGTTCGAGGTAGTGGCAACCAGTGGTGATACGCATTTGGGAGGTGAGGACTTTGATCAGCGAGTGACTACCTACCTTCTTAATTTGTACAAAAAGAAGACAGGAAAGGATGCTAGTGGCGACAAGCGGGCAGTTCAGAAACTACGTCGAGAAGTTGAGAAAGCCAAACGTACCCTCAGCACTACCCAAACCGTCCGTCTAGAGATAGAGTCCTTCTACGACGATGAACCTTTCTCCGAGCAAATAACTCGGGCACGTTTCGAAGAGCTGAATGCCGATCTGTTCTTAAGCACATTGACTCCAGTGAAACAGGTAATGAAAGACAGTGGCTTGGATGAATCAAGCATACACGAGATTGTTCTGGTTGGGGGGTCGACTAGAATCCCTAAAATCCAGCAACACATCAAAGAATACTTCCATGGCAAAGAGCCTAGCCGTGGAATTAATCCGGATGAAGCGGTGGCTAATGGTGCTGCCGTCCAGGGAGGTGTTATCAGTGGAGTGGAGAACACAGGTGGAGTTGTACTTCTTGATGTTTGTCCGCTGACCCTTGGAATCGAAACCGTCGGTGGTGTTATGACTAAGCTGATCTCGCGAAACACAGTAATTCCAACGAAAAAGTCGCAGGTATTTTCCACTGCTGCTGACAACCAACCCACGGTTACCATTCAAGTGTTTGAAGGAGAAAGGCCGATGACGAAAGACAATCATTACCTCGCAAAGTTTGATCTTACAGGAATCCCTCCAGCTCCTCGCGGTGTACCTCAGATAGAAGTCACCTTCGAAATCGATGTGAACGGTATCCTGCAGGTTACTGCCGAAGATAAGGGCACTGGACAGAAGAATAAGATCGTGATCAACAAAGATCAGAATCGTTTGAGTCCCGAGGAAATCGAGAAAATGATTAAGGATAGTGAACTGTTTGCCAAAGAGGACGCCAAACTCCGAGAAAGGGCGGACGCAAAGAATGAGCTCGAAGGTCACGTGTATCGTTTGAAGGGACAGTTGGACAACGAACTCAAAGACAAGCTTAGTGCAGAAGATAAGAAGGCGATCAGTGAAATCGTTGAAGAGACGATCACTTGGATTGAGCAAAACCCGCAAGCCGAAACTGAGGACTTGAAAGAACGCAAGAAAAAGGTCGATGACATAGTGTCCCCCATAATTACGAAGCTTTACGGACAGGCGGGACCACCACCACCGACAGAACAACCCGGCAAAGATGAGTTGTAACGATTCCATCCGTCCGTTTTTTTGACTTTTACTTGCCCCGTGTATATTATGACCCGTTTGTATATTTCCGCGTAAAGTGAGTTGAATCTAATTCTGTTCGATTTACACTATTTCTTTCTAAACTATTTTCTGAGGGTCGGTTTCTTTCGATATTCTGACTCAGCGGTCGTGTTTATCAGTTTTTAAGAGTGTGATCACGCACAAGGTAAAGCCACAGTAACAGTACTGCGTCCCTGCGGAAGTTCGAGGCATCTCGCGAAGGTGGGAAATGTGTTGAACCTTTCCTGCTAGCCGCCTTCCTTCGCTTTGGATACGGCCAACGGGGACCATTTCCCTAAACTACAATAGACTGACTGATTGTATAGAGTACATTGGGTAAAACTCCCCAGCGGTGAATGTGGTTCATCGCTCTTGCGTGAGGTGTGTGGATGATGTGTATGGTGGGTGACAGTCTACAGGACTTAAGGTGCAGTCCTCATTCTAACGAGGCATGTGTGTGATGTCCGATAGGAGACAAGTGTTGGAACTAACGTTTGAAAGAGCATCAGGCGTTTACTGATGGAATTTAATTTTCACTTAGCATTCTTGGAGTTTGTTCATCCGTTTCCAGCAGGAATTCGACGTAATATGGAGCATGTAATTGTGTAGCATTTTTGGACACCGGGAACGTAGTCAGATATAAAGAGCGAGGGAATGAATGGTATCCTTAATGCTTATAGGTCCTATATGTACACAGTTCTGCTCCGTTCCCCAAGAAGAGGTCATCTATGGGGTGGGCTGATTTATTATTGAAACGAACTTCAAGGGGAGTAGTTTTTCTAAGGATGCGGTCTCTTCAGATGTTGACAACTAGTCACTGTAGGGTATACACAGGTTACTGGGTTTGACTGGCATTCCACATCGCATAAGTGGCGCTTTTCTCGTAGATGACGGTTTTGTCGAGCCAGATAGTGTTCATCGTTCTGTGTTTATAAGGAAACAAATTTTGTCTGACAGATGGATTTAATATCAAACAAGTAAGCGCTTCCCTACCTGGTTAGCTTACTACGCTGAAGGTTCACAAAGCCAAATCATCTGTCTTAAATGCTGTAATAATAATTATGTAGCTAGGGACTCTATTATTATCCACAGGTCCAGATAGCGCAGTGTGTAAGGTTCTTGGTCCGAACCAAACCTCAACATCTCGGCTGCTCCTGTTTAGGTTTGGGCACTTCGACGTTATCTTGGCCCTCGTGCTTCTTGCGGGTAGCATGACAGCCAGACACAAAAAGTGCGTTACAGCTTGACGACTATGATAAATCAACGAACACTGTAAGAATAATTAAGCTGCATATGGTCGACATAAAATGAGGCTGTACGATCGGCCATCGTTCAAAATTTCTTCGAGGTATGCATTTCGCCACCCAGGGATGCGCAAGATAAAGGTGGGGAGCATAGATATTTAATTTGCGCCTCTGTGAAACTTAACAGTTCAGGACAGTGTGGGGAACAGTGAACAATTTATCAGTCGCTACAGTCATTGATATTTCAGGCTGCCTCGAGGCTTCTATCTTACTGGCCATCAGATTTAGGCGGCATGTAGCCTGGTTGTCTTTTTTCAGCCTATCACAGCCTCATTTGGTTTCGCCTCCATGCCGTTGTCATGCAGGCTATTCAGTATGACCTTTATACCAAGCAGGTTAACGAAGAGTGGTTATTCGTTGGACGAGTATGAGGAACTAATAAATCTTTGCTAATGGAGTAACCCATTTCGAAGAAAGCCCTAGCCACTGACGTTTCCCGGATTTCCTAGTCTCCTGGAAGGACTTCCCTGTAGTCAAGCGCTTTGCGTGACACGCCTTTATCCCTAACTGCGGAACTGATCAATTTCGCACCCTTTCGCAGCATGCTTTAAGAATGTGCTTGGGTTTTAGTCCACTCCGTTGAAGGACGTCAACGTCCTGATTTAATAGCAGGACGCCATAGTCGTCAATCTAAAGGCTTCTGATTATTTTACTGGAAATCACAAGTTCTTACAATTTTCCATATGTCCCAGTTGTGTTTTACTGCACTGATACGTATACGTAGCACGAGAAATGGAAGGAAGAACGGGTCGCTACTCACTCGGAGCAGCTGTTCAAGGTTGTACAACTGGCACTTTTCAACAATACGATTAGAAGCTGCTGACTCATTTTGGCCAGTTATGGGGGGTACACTAGGTATATCCTAATTTTCTTCAGTGACTGATCAGAAGCTATGGATTCATCACAATGCCGCCATTGAGGCCACAGATTATTTCTTTAGACTCTAGCTTGCTTATTTCATTGTGAATGATGAATGAATGATGACTTCGTTGTGAAATTTTCAGAGCAATGAAAAAGCTCTTCATGTCACTGCGAATCTTATCCTGTTACACTGGACGCCACTTTCTGTCTTTGATGGTTTGCAGAGTGCTGCAGACAATAAATCCAGGATCTGACCGCTTAAACGAGTCGCTAGAATTAGATATAAGGGTATACTTCTAAATGGCAGTGGTGTGTTTGATCAAGATCCACAGCATGGGCTATCTGGGTGACCCATGACTGATGAATTGAGGTTGGACCAAGCGAATGCGAAATGGTCGACGGGATAGAATGTCACCATGATAATATCCCATGGGTTATTTTTTTTTATCTAAAACACTATGTATCATGGAAGCAACTTGTCCACAAGACGATAGGACAAGAAGTTCTGTTCATTCATTGTTTCTGGCAAATTTTCAGATGAGTGATTTAGCACAGTTGCGAAAAATTAATTGCGAATATGTACAAAAGGTTGCCGAGTCGAGTCCATGTCTCATGTTCGTAAATGCGTAGGAAATTCAAACGAAGCTGACTCATGGTATCCCCAGGACTTTACATCTACACGACGAAGGTGAGATAATGAATCGAGCCTAATACGGGACGACGGGATTTTTATAGGCAGAGGTTCTGGTATACAAGATTACGTTGGTGTTCCTTGGGGAGCACAGTTTCGTGATTCACTGTGTGGGGTTGGAGAAAATCGTGGTGGGTCATGTCGAGGAGATCCGAACAAGTTTGATTGCCTATCTACGATGAAATTACAGGGCATATTACAGAAGGAGCAAGACGACTCTGCTTCATCTTCTGATACTAACAAAGTCAACTTTCGACAGTCCACAAAAAACTTGCGAATGAACAATACGATATTATGGGCAGAGCAGCCGAAATATTGAAAAATTTGCTTACGGAGAAAGGAATTCGTAGAGCAGACAACCACTGACAGTTCTTTAGAAGCACGTCATAACGCCAGGGTAGTTCAAAAGATAACTTTTCTCTGAGGTGCTCAGTACGTTTTACTTGGCTGGTAACATTTGAAGGGAGCAGTGGTTGTAAATCACCCGGGTGTCGACCACGTCAAAGTGCATATCATTTCGGCTCAGTTGGGCGAGATGGCCCAAGTGGTTAGAGCGCGAATTTACTGACCGGAAGGTTCGTGGTTCGAATCCGACCTCCGCCACTCGACTTCCCCTGTCTAGGCCTGGGCAACCTGGCAGTATCCTAGCCCTCGTGCTTCCTTTCGGGTGGTAGGCAGCTAGGCACCGGAAGGGTGCTACAGCTGAACGCTTCATTTTGGCTCATTTACCTTAATAAAGATTTAGGAATGCTTCTAGACCAAGAGCAGGTGACATGGATATCCTGACGGAACAGCTCAAGACCAGTGGCTGCAGTACAAATCCCACCAAAAGCGTTATCGCTAGGGTGTTTATTACAACGCTCTAGTCGTCAAGAGTTAGTGAGTCTGTGTAGGATATGACAGAACGGTTCCCTCAAGCATATCGCCCTCGGTTGTAGCCGTGGTTACCATCACTGCACACTGTTTATGTCCACTGAAATAATCGCATAGAATTGACAAAATGAAACCATGCTTGTCATTCCCAGGAAGGTTTTGGAGGAGCCAAGTTCAATCAAATGAGTCCATAAAAATGTAATCTCATTTGTTTCGTCCTTCCAGAGCCTAAAATTCGATGCATTAGTAGAGCAAGATCTCCGTTGTTGGTTTTTTAGGTTTAAGTGAATCGAAGCCTGATATCAGTGGCGTCTAGCCAGAGTTCCATGATAGCAGGTATCAGCACCTGCCATTTAAGCAAAACTGAAGTGGTACAACTAGGAGATGACTTCGGTATGAATGTGATACGGGGTCATCTGTCTGTTAATGGTGTGACCTTAAGGGCAAAAGGTGCTAGATTGAAACAGAAAATACTGTCTTACAGTGATTCAAAACCAAGAAGTCCATTGGTCCTATTTTCAGCGCACGACATTCATTTGGGTTACCTGAATGTCCTTACTAGAATCAGAACACAGGTTGGCGAACACATTTCCTTGCATATTTCTCAAACGGATGAAAACACAGCGAGCGACGGTAGTAAGTAAACCTAGGGGGGGCCAGCTGGACTAGCGCATCAAAATATTCTGCACCGCAGTCGACCAGCTTGTGTAGCCAGTAGCTGCGTATCCAGGTAATATGGATCTTGACGTACGTACAAATGACCTCTAATTGAGCGAGTGAGTAGATATTGGATCGGTTGTGGCTTGGCACTAATTTTGAGTGGATCTTCGTTGATCAGTAGATGGTTTGTATGGAATCTGAATGCGTGACCTGTACGGGTGAAGCGATTGACAATATTTCTTCGATTGGATTGGCAGTCATGACAACCATGCTCCTGTCTGCAATTCACTTGTCGTATACTATTGTTGTACACCTTCAACTTCTCATTCAGATGCCCGACCCAAAGCCGCCACCTTGACGTGGTGGTCAGGCTTGAGTGCTGCGATGATCCCGCTGGCAAACTGGCTGCAACTACTCCAGAAGGCCAAACGGGAGCAGCGAGACACCGTGCTACGAGTAATTCGGCTGCGAGGCGGTCTGGGGTAAAGTCTTACTGTTCTCTGCAGTGGGAGTGTGAAGTAAAGTGTTACCACCAGGCGACCGAGATGTATGTATCCATGCAAGCGCTAATTCTGCCTTCCCAAAGGAAAGCCGTCTAGAAGAGGTTGACCTTAAACCCGCGCAGTCCTGTTTCCCAACGGTTGACTGTGGCTGCTGGCGCATTATTCAATGCGTTCAAATACCAAAGCGTTTAGTTATGCTCAAAAGGCACCTACTGTGCACAGCTCCATCAGGAGTCAGAACGTAATGCCTTACTCCTTGTGCCCTTAGGTTAGGTTAGCCAATGACTCAATTGAGAGAGGGGACATGGCGCTGGCATATCGCAGGCATTCTGAGGTGCCTACACCTCCAAGCACTCAATGAGGCAACCTGGGAAGAGACTGATTGGACAAACGCCACCGACACCGATCAGTCGTCATTTCCTGAGATGTCTCCAGCCAAGCTCAGGAGGTGTCGCGGGGGACTTAACCAGGAAGTTGAACTCCACCAGCAGCACTTAAACTCTTTCACACCCTTCTGCCAAATCAAGCATTGTCCACCTCACGGTCTGCACCCTTCTGAAGGAGGCACATAGAACAATACCCGTCTCGGTAAACGGTGTGTTTGGCATGTGTGGCACATGACCAAGTCACCGTAGTCGATTGAAGTTCCCCCCGCTCAACCAACTGTCCGTTTTCTAATTACGTCTACGGATCCGCTGACACCAAATACCAGCAACGCTTCTGAGGCCTGGGTGATCAGAACCCGAAGACACCTCACATCGTCTGTCTGCAGAAGCCATGTTTCGCAACCATGCAGCCCTTGACTTAGTCTCGAACACGCCATCCTGAGAGATCCAAAGGTAGATCTTGTTGATGCCACAAGTGACGCAAATTAGCAAAATTGATTTGGGTTCCTGCGATTCGTGCACTGAGTTAATCAATTCTGATTGTAATGTGACAGACGAGATCAATGCAAGAATCATCAGGGCCCGGGTCGCATTTGGTAATTTGAGACACCTGTGGCGTCAGATTGGTGCATTCCTGAATCTCAAGGGACGTGTGGATCAAGCCACGGTGGGACTCTTTTGTTGTATGGCTGTGAGACTTGGCCTGTTCGAGTAGCGGAACTGAGATTTCTTCAGGTGTCCGACATTCGTTATCTCAGAACCATAGCTCGCGTGGGTTGGTGTCGGCGAATCCGTAACGAGGCAGTTAGAAAGCGTGTTTTCGGTTGTGTAACGGGTACTTCCATTGAAGAATGTGTCCAGCACCAGAAGCTGCGTTGGTTGGGACATGTGTTACGTATGCCGAACCATCGTTTGCCGAAGAGAGTGCTGTGTTCCATGCCCAA